TTTGTAACAATAATTTATACAATAATTTTAAGATCGTTAATTGGAATATAATCAGAATATTACTAAAATACCTAATTTGCAATCAGAATATAATGCTAAAAATTTTTTATAGCCCTGAAGAGTTGCTGTCACTTTGCTTTTTTGACTTAAAGCACTTTCTTAAGTTGAAGTTGTATGAAGAATTCTTTACTAACAAATACAACCTTTATATATTCACAAAGCTTATATACAGATAGAGGCAATACATCATTTAAAGAACTTAGATTTTAGGAAATATTATAAAATGCTCTTTAAGTCTGTAATGAGTATGCCTTTTTCTGTAATTGTATAAGATTTATATAGAGATATTTAGGTGAAATAAGAAGTTGCTCTGGAATTGTTAGGTTTTAAAGACATATAGGAATGGATCTGATCAACATATTGTTGACTAATGATAGTGATGAAGTTACTTATTTTTTCAAACAATTAAAGCAATATTGACAAATTTACAACTAAAAAGGGGCATGATAATTATCAGAATTATCAAGATATTCAGATAAATATATGAATCCAAAATAATCAAGAAGAACATTTAGTCCAATAGCAGTAATGTAAGGATGATTAAAATCAAAATTAATTTTAAATGATGGATTAGTAAAATCTAATGGTGCTTTAATTAAAGAAAGATCAATTTCTCTTATAGAAATTTTCTTGTAATTGCTGTAATTATAAATGCTTGAGCAAAACAATGCATATTAATTTATGCAATTCATTGAGATTGACCTTATTTCAAAATTCAGCCGATGCACCTTTAGCTATTTTTTTTTAATAGGTTAGGACTATGTAATATGTTGTTAATTAATTTTTTCAAATTCTTCATTAATCTCTATAATGATAAAGGAACATCCAAACTATTAGCCTAATGATCTTTTGCAAGTTAAGTATAAATCTGTTTTTTTTCATATAGTGTTTTGGTTTGAATTTTGTGAACTTTGTAATTGAGAATTTTTATAACAGAAAGCTATTCATTTATGATTTCTCAACTTAATTTTATTTTTAGTTTTCATAATAATTATAATGTATTTAAGCTTATATAAGTACTTTTATATTAAAACATAAAATCAGATTATTAGCAATGAATGTGATATTAATTTAATATGATAATTAAAAGTCTAATGTTAATGAGTAACCTTTTATAGCTTACTTGAAACAATGAATCAAGGTTTTTTGCACAATAAAATAATATATTACATTTAGTTAAAGTAAACAGGCACTAACTGATAATTGGCTTTTATCTTTACTTACTTAATATAGATAATAATTTGAACTGAAAAAATTTTTATTAATTGGTTAACCAAACCAAAATATTTTATGCCAACTAATTCAACTGTTTTATGATTTACTTCACACTTTACCTTCAAAAAGTCTCAGAGCTTTATTCAAATTTTTGACCTTTTCAGAATTCTTGTTCCTTTTACCTAATTACTAATTTTTAACCAGTTGTATAGATCAACTGATTAAGAATTTACTCAACTGGTTACCTGATATTTATTTGATTCAGATTGGTTAACTGATTCTAGCCTAACAGGTTAAAATCACTAAATATGAATTATAACATTTACTATATTTAGTCATATTCTTAATAAATTATATAACAATAATATATCAAATTATTCTATAATTAGTAAACATATTTTAGTTAGTCATACAGGAAGATTCACTAAAATTAAGAATTAGAATACTCAGAAAGCATAATTAGCAAGGCCAAAATTAAATAATTTTGTCCAAGATCACTAAAAGTTTTAATAATAAAACCATAGCTCACTCATTAAGTAAAGCTGCCTAGCTAATAATTTTGAATCAGAAATAGTTAATTTATATTACTAAATGCTAACTAAATTTGATAGTTCTAACTTAAATTTTGAAGATCCCCCTGTATAAGTTAATTTGTATAGAATAGATCTATAAAATTAAAGTAAAAGGTAAAATATAAATATATAAATCATATAAATTTCTTTCTAAACCTTTAAAATAAGCATAGAATATTTGTTTCTAACTAAGTTCCTTATATACAATTTTTATACTAAGTAAAATAGAAATATTAGTTATTAATCAGATTCTCTAAATATTAAATACAAAATTGATTAAGCTCATAATTACCCATTGTTAAAATTGACATTTTTATCACTAACCTGAATTATAACCTGTGGCTATGTAAACAGTGAACTCATTGCATAAATGCAGTAATTATATAAAAAAACAAGTGCTAATAGAGTAATAAGTATTTAATCAACTGACCAAAACAAAAGTTATAGTACACCTATCTGAAATCTTACACTATTTTTATAAACTCAGGTGCTTCAAATCACTCAGACCAAGTCTTTTTATGCCTCTATTGTATCCTTAACATTAGAGTTTGGTTATTATAGATATAATGTTCTAGCTAGGGTAGTTGAGCTAATATAATTTTTGTAAATTTTTAGAATTCTAAAAACTTTGTAAAACATAAAAAGAAATAGTAAAAGTTGATAAATTAAAAGCTTATATAAAAATATTATAAAAAAGCACCTTTTCTATCAATAAAATTTAACTTGCAAAGTTCTATAACTTTGAGAATATTATAGAGTAGAAGTTACCACTGTCCATTGATCATTAAGACAATCACAATGTACTTCCAGATTATAGTTATACTTAGAATTCATCTTGATTAGTAATGAAGTTGTAATAAATGAGTTTGGCATTATATATACTATTACTTTTTAACTCTTTGAATCTAGTGATAATAATTTAAGCATCTCTTTTTTAGAGTCATCATTATGAGTAATTTCCTATTGTTTGCATTAGCTTGTATTTTAACATAATTGTATTCATAAAAGCTATGTTTATTAAGCTCTTAATAAGCATGTGAAAGAAATAACTAACAGAATTATTATTTTTAATAATACATTCTATAATGTATAAAATTATAGTAAAATTGTCAAATTGTATAAGCATATATACATATTCAAAGTGAATTTAACAAATACAGTTAGACTTTAATATAATTACCTAATTGGAAAACAAAATATTGGTAGCAATAAAAAGTAGTGTCTATATAAGGATCAAATTTTATTTATTATAATATCTAAAGTCAGAAAATAACAAGACTGTAGCAAAGTTGTGACTATGTTAAGAGTAACTATAACAAAATCTGTATATATTTTAAAAAATAAAAAATCACATTATAATAATGATAGTGAATAATGAATTATAAATTATTATATGCAAACAAACTCACAAGCAATATTAATTTATTATATATAAAATATTTCATACTAAATTTTTTTTTAGTATAAAAACATAAAAGATTTAACTGAAACAAATTTGGAGAAAAATAACAAAAGGGATAAAAGTATATTTTTATTTTTATATAAGTTGTTAACAGACTAATTAAATAATTTATCAAATAAAATCATATTCATATAAACATAGATCTTGCAGAAATTAATAAATTGAATTTAATTATTGTAAAACATAATAGTTGGTTTTAATAAACTAATACTTTATTCAAAAAAGATTATAAGTGCATTATTATTTATGTACAAGAAAAAAGATAAATATATAAAACAATGACCAATATATAAATCTAACTCTTACTTAAATATACTATTAATAAAATTTGTTATTAAACTTAAACAACCTTATACTTCATTTTTACTATAATATAATATATTTAATAAGCTTATTAAAATCTTATTTATGTTTATTTAATTTCACTTATTTTCTGTGCTTTTTTTTCTTTTAACTGTTCTAGTACTCATTTTTCATTTCTTGAACTGTGAGTTTTCTTCATCTTCATCATTATTTTCTATATCTTTAGTATTAATTAATTTATCAATAATATCATTTAATTGTTCATTATCATCTGAATCAATACAAACTGGATAAGGCAGCTTTTCTTCTTCATGTGAAGAATTAGTTATCAAATTAGTTTTCTACTATGCTTAAGAAAATCTCAAATGATTTGAAAGTGCTGATGTCATCAGATTTGACCAAATAAGTTGCAGATTTAATATACTTTAGTAGTGTTTGAGTGGTAGTAGATTTAACATTATTCACAACAATATCAATAATTAATTGAGATCTGGGCATCATTAAGGATGAACTTCTAAAAACATTGTAATTCAAGGTTTTTATATATTCAATATCAGTTGTCTCAATAACCAATTTATCAGTCTGTGAGAACTTAATAAGTTCTGATACAAAATAAGCATTGCTAACTTGATATTTGAATCTAAAGTATTTAGATAATTCAGAAATCTAATAAATTGAAAAAAATACAAACTCATCATCTGCATTTTGGCATTAGGTAAGCTAATAACAGAATTATACTCAACAGTTTCTACACCAAAATAAATAAAATTCTCAACTTCTTTCAGTTTATGAGTAACTATTATAGAAAACATGCAATAAGAGATGCATATAAAGACATCACTTATATCAAATTTACAGTTAGAATTTTTATCATCAATAATACTGGCATATGTAATAGTAATATATTGCTCAGAGTTTTTAAATACAAATTTTCTTGAGACAAATACAAGGTCATTAGATTTAAATAGTTAAGGTTTTTCATTTGTTGAGAAAAAATGTTTCTATCTAATTATCTAAGATATTTCTTTCAAAATTTTGTATTTAGCATGACCAAAAAAACACAAGTAACTGTTTTTCACTTAGGTAATAACAACAAGTTCAATATGTAAAGGCATTTTAACAGAATTTAAAAGCTTTTATCTAATTATAATCAGATCAAAGAAACATTATGTTAAAATTTCGACCTATTTATAAAAAATATGCCCTTTAACAAACATTAATATTCTAAGACAGCTTCCAAATAACATTTTTTAGGTTTATATTTTTTTTTATTAGTGTATACTAGATTTACTTTTTTTTTTTTTTTTAAATATTAAGGTAAGTACTTGCGACCCAGGATTTTATTGATAGTATATTTGGCTAATGATT